TAAAATATATTTTCGATTTGCTCACTACAAATCATGAATGTTATATATATTATAAAACTAAATAAAAAATTTTATATCATACATAATACATATGCGGCTATAGAAAATAAAAATAAAATGAATGACATGATTTTATATTAATTATAGTAATAATATTTTTGTTTGTATGTAGGTGTGTCTTGCTGTATATGTCTGTGCATTGAAATTATCATCACATCATATATCTACCTGATTGCCGCAAATAAGCTGCACACGTGAGCAGTGCATATGGCATGCATTCCATCGGTACCCACCATAATGCTCATACCCACCATAATAACAGCGGTAGTGTAACAATAAATTAGTAAAAAATTCTCATTTTTATCTATTCTGAATTCAACTTCCATCATGAAAAATCGTGAACGTGATTCATTAAGAGGTATTACGATATCCAAGAGTGGTGGTACTAACGGTATTATTATGTATACCGTACACATGAGATATATTGATGCTGTAATATCATGAGAAAAATTTGTATTATTTTTTTAGTAATATAAATTTATAAACTATCCTAGAACTATAACAGTCGATTTATCTAATTTGCGTTAACGAAAGTTTTAATTAATTTCCAATTTGTGTAATATAATAAATTTGAATATAAAAAGGATAGTGTATAACTTAATCTCGACTTACAAGTTTATGAAATTTCTTTAGTATATTACTCACTCGAGTAATATTTTGTAAATTTTCGCGACAGCGAAGAATAGTCTTTCAAAATTTGAATTTCTATATCATTAGTAAATATATCCCAATGCTCATCAATTGTTTTATACAGCTGTCGAAACTGATAAATTTGAAAATGATTCAATGTGCAGCAACACCTAAAATTTTTTTTCCGAAGTAAACATAATTTAAAAAAAGTATAATAATATATTTTAATTCCGTACTTTGTCGTAATTCCAAAATTGATTTGCCTGTCTTAAAATGAATGAAGTTATGATAGCAATTTGATAACCAGCTTCAAAAATCATTCGCGCATCGTTCCAATGATCATATAATAATAATATCTATATGTAACATTAAATTAAAATATAAAATATGTTGCACATTTTTGTTTTATTAGTTAATAATTATTATGTTAAACAAGTGTTACTTTAGCATACAACAAAATTTTATATATATATATAAAATAATAAGTAACAGTGAAGTGAAAATTTATAAACACTTGTCAAACGTAATTTGTGAAACTAAAATTTATCAGTGCAATACCTCGAACGGACAGTAACTTATTTCGAGCAGAAAGCAAAAAGTCCACAAAGAATTTCTCACGAGTTTACTTTGGAATGGCCAACAACCTATATTTGACAGAAATATCCGACTCATGTTGTATTCTCTCAGAAAATTTGATAGCATTTTTATTTGTCTCAGTTCTTCACCAAGAGACCGCAAATATAATGATGCATGTCACACATACTATTGATTCTTTGGTGGTTAGCACAGATCGCAGCATAAAATATAAAATTATAGGATGTCAAGTACTGTCGATGTCATCCTATCATTTCACTGAAATACGATGGTGTATCTAGCTATTGATATTAAACTATAATTTTTTTCAAGTTCTTTTTATCTAATATTTTTGTAGAGTGTAGAGTGACATATTATTCCAATGATGTTGTGTAATCAAATATAAAGTTAAAATTAAAAGTATTAAAAGTAACATGTTATTAAAGAAGAAAGTAGAAGTGCTGTGAACACGCAAATAATACTATTATAATATACTAGAGTAGAGATAAGTTTTTATTTCTCTCTCGTGCCCAGTGATAGACTGATATACGCTCAGTTCCGCACATACACTATATATACGCACACGTACTATACATAGAACATGACACACTAATTAAGTTATTTAAGGTAAACATTATTATATATTTTCGGTGTTTTTGATGTAACTTTTTTGTTTTGCATGTATGTTGTTTAATAATCATAAGTTGTACAAAAATTATATTGCTACCATAAATTAAAGTTACAATTATGAATATATTAAATTTAACTTGAATCTCTTACATGTAATATGTGATTTTTTTTCTGTTTATATTTTTTTATAATAATTAATTTTTATAATATAATAATTTAACTGCGATCGATTGCATAGAGTAATTGTCATAAATGTTCACAATTATTTCTGTAACGGACTGATGCAAATGTTGCAAACATAACGCTGATACAAACCTCAATTTTAATTCAGAATATTCATTATTAAGAGGAAGATAAAAAAAAATGAATTTCGGATATTCATTCATATTATCCATTCTTGAATGAGTCTATATTTTTACTTGACATAGTAAATTTGCCTGTAATGAATGAGAATATTAGAAATTATGGAAAATCTCATCGACTAAAGAATACTCCGAGATATTGACTAGCAGACGTACAAAATAAGTTTTAGAAAATAAAAGAGAGAAACGAATTGAGAAGGAAAAAGAAAGAGAAATATCAACAAGTAACAAAAAAAAAAATTAATATGAAAAAATTGAATAAGCCAAAAGATAATAGAACTTTAAGACAGTTCTAGGAAGAAAAAAAGCAAAATTATTATTGGATTATGTATAATATTTGCAAATATATTATGGGCATATGGAAATTGTTATGGAGATAAAAAGATATGTCTGAAACTATGTTTAATTTTTGCCAAGAAAGGTCTTAGTTTGTAATTTTTTATCATTCGTAATTACCCCAATATTCGGCATTATTCCACATACAGCGAGTAACTCCGAACGACAAGAGTATGTTTTGAGTTTTATTTAAAAATTATAATTTATGTTGATAATATATAAATATATTAATTATTGTAATTTAAAGCTAAATAACTGAAGATATTCTTTGAGAATAAAGCCTATAATTGATAAATAATCGTCGGCTTTATTTAATTTTTTTCTTAGATATTCGCAATTTTCCCACTTTTCCTTATTAGTAATTGATTTTAAACTCCTTTAGTTCATTCCGATAAAATTGAAACGATACTCTAGAATTCTATATATCAGAAAATAATAAAATAAAAATCATAAAAAATATAAAACAGGAAAGATCTATGTTGATCTCGAAAAAAAAGACAATTGTAGTGAACTAAAAAAATTCATTATAAAAATATTTAAAATAATGCTGAATAGATGAGTGAACTCCGCATTCACACATATACACATTTAAACATACACAAATAGATTTATGTATACATTCATATATTCATATATACATATATATGTGTGTGTGTGTGTGTGTGTGTGTGTGCGCGCGCGCGCGCGTGTGTGTGTGTGTGTATGAATATATATATATATATATATATATATGTGTGTGTGTGTGTATATATGAAATAGTAAACAAATAGTAAACAAATAGTAAAAAAGATCTAAATTAAAAAAATATTTTCGTTCTTGATAGGAAATTTTATGCGTTAGATATGTATTAATACATAAACTTTAATAATGGAAAAGAAAACTATAAAATATGAAAATTATAAAATTAATACAAAGATAAACCGATACAAAAATTATCACATTCTGTCGATAATACAAACGAGTTCAGCATTCCTTTAAAGTTCATAAAGAGAGATATTAAAATAGTAATAATATGTAGGTATTTTTTAATTCAAGATATTTTAAGAATGTTAATACTGTTTATAAGATAAAATTCATATTTTATTTAACTAATCAATATAATATATAAATCATATTATCAATATTATATGTATTCGCATATTGAAGTACGTGATTATCTAACTTTCTGTAAAAAAGATAATATAAATAAGCTTTTAAATTTAGAATTATAAACAAGGAATTGATTAACAAAACATATAATTTTATTGTGAAATAAAGAATATTAGGAATCTTTTAATTATAATTTATTAATGTTGGTATTAAACATGCTAGTAAACAACTAAGTAAAACTTCAATAATCACTCTTGGATTGATAAAAACGCAGTAAAATAAGACATGGCCATTCGTATTACCTTAAAATAATCGAATATGTAAGTAGTACAAGTAAATGTATATGCCATTGTTGTAAAAATAATTGTGCTTTGTGTAGTATTTACTTACTGACGCATAGGTAGCGATGGATAACGGAACCATATTACCTGCCTTTAATCCGCATGGCATATTACTTCTGTAAAGAGTTATTATCATTAAAGATTTTAGTCTAGGTGAGAAATTATACCATTCTGCCGCATATCTGTAAATATATAATTCTTAATTTTTATTATCTCTTTAAAGATAATTATGTTTAATAAATAAAAAATGGAGTTTATTATATTCTTTATTATATATTGTAGCATGCACGAGATAATTAGAAAATGATTTGCAAAATTTTAAGTAATTAAATTATTAATAATTTCTGATTTAGTTGCATTTTATAACATTAAAGACAACTTAAATGAAATTTTTCTAATGTTTTACGTTTAAGAAATTTCACACATAGCTACAAAATATGCTTTTGCACCAAAATAATTTTTCATGTGCCAATATATATAGTTGGATATAAAATAATTATTTTACGCTCGATAAAATATGTCCTGACTTTCGTCCATTATTCTCTGACCGGAATAAGATATAATCATCAAAGTTACTAATAATGCTATAACTATAAATATGAATTTTATCGCTTCCTGCAATTGATCTAATACATAAACGATCTATAACAAATTGAAAATATTATATAGTTATACAAAGTGTTATTATCAAGTGTTATTATCATCGAAGTCATTAATACTCCAAAAGTTATAAATACAATTTTAGAGATTCTTGTAACTAATGTAATATAGGAACAGATTACAGAAAGTATCATATAATTATTGAAAATGTAATTTAGTTGTTTAATCTTGATTGATATCTTAGTTAGTTATAATCTTAGTTAAAAAAATATTAATCTTAAAATGGAAATTGTATATTTTATAATTTTTGTAATTTTAATTATATATGTACATACATATATTCTTCTTATTATAGGAACATCTTAGATTATTATTTAATGCTTACCCGAATTCCTACTAAACTTAAAGCTCCGATAATTAATAATAATATAAGTAGTGAAAGCCCTTGATATGAAGACTCTAATACATTTACAAATCTATGGAATAATGTTTACAAAATATATTTTTACATATAAGCAATAATATTATATTACATTTATTTTATATAAAAGTAGTTAAAAAATTAATTGAGAAAAGTTGCTTACTCTATAGCAAGCTGATGCTTCTTTAAACATACTATATATTCATGATATACTATTTCCTCGCTTAACGAATCAAATTTCGTATTTATACAATGCTTCGATTTGCTGATGTTTTTACTATTATTCGCTTTTACGAACATATTTTCAAGTTGCTTACTGCAAATCATAAATTTTATGGTATGTTATTATAATAATAATAAGAGCTAAATAAGTTTTATGTAATATATAATATATAATGTATAATATATTATACATTTATACAAAATAAAAATAAAATAAAGGTTTTAAAATAAATATAATAATATTATTATTATATTTATATATTCTATTTGTGTATTAAAATTATCATAATATCATGTATTACCTGATAGCCGCAAATAAACTGCATGCGTGAATAGTGCACATAACGTGCATTGCATCAACACCCACCATGATATTTATACCCACCATGATTGTAACGGTGGTATAACAATAAATTAATACAAAATTCTCGTTTTTATCCATTCTGAATTCAACTTCAACTATGAAAAATCGCGAACGTGATTCGTTAAGAGGCATTACAATATCTAGAAGCGGCGGTGCTAATGGTATAGTCATACATATCAAACACATGAGATATACTATCGCTGTAATAGTATGAGAATTATATTACATTATATTATTTCTATCGTAATATAAATTTATAGATTATTTTAAAATTGTAGCATTCGATTTGTCTATTTTTCATTAATAAAAATTATTAAATTTCAATTTTTGTTTCATAATATAATAAATTGAATATAAAAAGGATAATGTATAATTTAATCTCGACTTACAAGTTTATAAAATTTTTTATTATATTACTCACTCGAGTAATATTTCGTAAGTTTTTGCGACAGCGCAGAATAATCTTTCAAAATGCAAACTTCCATATCGTTCGTAAATATATTCCAATGTTCATCAATGGCTTCATACAACCATTGCAACTGATTATAATAAAAAATTATAATATGGAAACAATTCAACATATAATATGTAAGATATAATATCTAAAATACTTTAATTGAAATGATTATAGCCAAAAAAGTAACAACATTATATTTATTATTTTATAAGTTTACCTTATCATGATTCCAAATATCATGCAATGCTCTTGCAATTAATGCAATAAATAAAAGGATTTGATAACTAGCATCAAAAATTATTTGTGGATCGTTCCAATGATCATGCAACAGTAATATCTACGTATTATATAACAATGAATTATCATTCATAATGTATGTTACAAGTATGTTATTATGAGATTGATTATATAGAAACTGTCTCTCTTTAATTAATTATTACTACTAATTATTATGTTAAACATTATTATGTTAAACATACATTGAAACATATAAATATTTTACAATAATGATGTTTATGTGTAACAATATTCAACATATTTGATGACAATATTTGAAAAGAACGTTATTATGAACATTAGTACACGGAAAAAACATTTTTGCTGGCAAATCTAAAAATTTGGCTAGATACAGATCTGAAAACGATTTTGTTGGGTCTTCAAAATTATTATATACGTTCAAATTGATTGTTAGAAGATCAAACATTTTTGCAGTATTATCATTATATTTAAGTGTTCTACAAAATAATTTTGATGGGCCAACAAAATTATTTTCAGATCTGTATGGTCAAATTTTTAGATTTGCCAGCAAAAGTGTTCTTTCCGTGTATGTATTTTTTTTAAATAGAATATATCTTCGAGGTAATGTAAATTACCTCGAACGGTAAATAACTTAGCTCCAATAATAAGCAGAAAGTCCTTAATGGATATCTTATATGGTTGTTTTGATATGGCCAGAGACCCGAGATACACAGAAGTATTCGATTCAAGTTGTATTCTCTCAGAAAATTTGACAACATTTTTATGAGTTTTCCAACAAAAGACTATAATGCAATGATGCGTTTTTTTAGTTTCCCGTCGTAAGACCGTAACATAATGATGCGTTCTATATATACGCTATCGATTCTGTGCCATAACTTACAACATACAAAAAAATGAAATCATAGGATGTCACAGATCATCTGTCATTCTTATCTCGTCGATATAAGGACGATAATATAGTACATCTTGCTAGCAATATTAAACTATAAATTTTTCCCCCTCGAAAGTATCAGTTATTTAATATTTTTACGAAGTAAAGAAAGGCGAAAAAATGAAT